CTGTCTAACTTGTAAACAAATTAACAAGTCGATAAGCCGGATTAGGATTCTCAACGTCAAATGCAAGTTAACGGCTTATTTATCGTTTTATTTTTCATGTGTTATGTGTAAACAAGTCGCTGATAATTCCATGATGTGTAAACAAGTCACATCATGTGTGTGATGAAGTAAACAAGACGATGAAATTATCAGCGACTTATCCACACACGAGGTAGCTATAAAATTCAATCTTACAAAGAGTGGCTATAAAGTGGCCATTCACACACGATGTGGCAAGGGCTATACGTACCATCGATAAGCTGTTTCAACTATAATTAATATCGTTACATTTTCTGGTGCTAATATTTGTATATATATAGTTGTGACTAACAGTTTGTCACCACTCTTTGGTGAAAGATGTAACACGGCTTCCAATTGCACGGTTGATGCTGGTAATAGCCTATCCCTATCTCTCTTTGTCCTATATTATCAACATGTTATGATATATTAGTGTCTTAATCAATATACTTTTGTAAATTGTAAACGCAAAAAGTTAAACGAAAAATGGAATGTGTTAACTTGTTTACAAGTTAGACAGCGACTTATTTCGATATGGAAAGCCTATAATGTCGATATTCGTTATATATTCGTTAACCTAGTGTCACTCATGTAAAAAAAAAAAAATATATATATATATATTGTAATCTCATTCTAATAATGTCGATATTCATTAACCTAGTATCACTCATGTGTTTTAGCTTTTTGTTTACAGTTACAAATTTATCTTTTGAATCAAATGAAATTTTTATTTTTAAGGAATTTGATCCTTTCGATAAGGAAAAAATTACATTTGAAACAATAGAGTTAGTCTGCCTGAATATCTAAGGGTCAATTTTTATTTTATCAGGTTGTGGTAAAATCTAAGGGCCAAGCAGATGAATACGGAATCAAGTTGTTTGGTTTTCTTACGTAAAAATAAATAAATATATAGGCAAATGTATAATTCTTTTCATTTGGTTAACGTTGATGAGTTTGCTATTGCAAGACGAACTTAAAAGTTGATGAGTTTGCTATTGGAGAGGTACCGATGCAACGGCTGAGATTTGTTGGGCATTAAAATTCATCATCATAAATTGCAATTAGGTAAATATCACATTTTAGTATGCGCATCAATCGTTATAAAGCCAATTTGCGTATCTTTTTGCAGCCAAACCAATTCGACCAAGGGTAAGGGACATCTCAAGCTACGCATAAATCTAAGTGTTGCAGTTCATGAAAATTGGGTCGTACGGTGGTTTAATAATATGACAATGTAGCATTAAGTTATCCGACCAATTTTGCACTCAATGTGTGACTAAAAACAAACTATCTTTAGGGGTTTGTGTGCAAGTGACACTATAGTGTTAAAAAGCATTTGATTTCATTATGGTAAAGAATGTTTGTTTCCGTGCGAGCATGAGAAGGAAAGGTGTCTTTTTCTTGATAAAGAACTTTATATTTATAAACTACTATGATAAGAGATAGATTATAGGATTTTATGCAAATAAACCATCTAAGTGGTTAGAATTTTTGATTTTACCTTCCAGATCAATTAAATGAAGGTCAACCCTCCAAGTAAAAATTAATCCGCAATATAACCATTCGGATCTAAAACATTGAAGAGAATTTACGCCTACAAGCCTTATAGTTCCTAACTTTTAAGAGTAGATTTGGTCATTTGGGTTTCTTATTTCAAGGACTTCGATTTGATATGTAAATTTTGTGGTTTGACAAATTTATAAGGGTTTTATTGCGGGTTGACTTTTACTTGGAGGGTTGACCTGCATTTAATTGACCTAGAATATAAAATCGCAAACCCTAGAT